TTTACTAACCTATAACAGTTTTATTCTTGGTCGTGATCTACATTAAGAAGACATGAATACTATCAAACTTGCAATATTTTTAATTTTCAACGTTATAATGTATTGCGTTAAGGTTGATAATTGAATATGCTTTAGATTGTAATAGCTTTATATCCCTAAGTGCATTAAAATGAAACAGTACTTACCAGAAGCCTTCACAGAAACTATGTATCTTGTGTAGCTTTACAATCCTTACTAATATTATAAATCGGAAAGTGAGTTTGTTTGTTTGTTCCGCTTTCACGCCGTAACTACTAAACCGATTGCTTTGAATTTTTGCAGACGTAAAGTTACAAGTCTGGATTAAATAATAGGGTACTCTTTATCCCGGAATAATTTGATATTCCCGAGGGAAAACAAAAGTATTGGTATAGATGGCGCTGTGTGCATTGCTAAATGTCACAGGCTACTTTTTATCTTTTTTGTGACGCGAGCGAAGCGGCGGGTAAAAGTTAGTCTCTTTATAATATAGTTTACTAGCGACCTGCCCCGGCTTCGCACGGGTGCAATATTCATGTAATATACACATAAACCTTCCTTAAGAATCTATCTATTAAAAAAAACCGCATTAAAATCCGTTGCGTAGTTTTAAAGATCTAAGCATACATAGGGACAGACAGACGGCGTATAGCGACTTTGTTTTATACCTCTACTATATAGTGATAAGCTCCTGACACGGTAATATTATCATACATGCTTCTGATCAAAGACAGCTGTTTTAGTACCCAAACAAGCCTTTCGGTGAATCCAAAATGTTCATCTTCTTCCTAATATTTCATTCATCGAAACCTGTGTGTTGTGACTCAACAAACCGTTTCTCTCAACCTGATTCCAAAAATACCACTGAACATTAACATCCTTATTTAATTCCTACCTTATACCCTTTAACTCAAAGTTTGGATTCCTTCGTCAGCAGGACTGAACTAATTGCTTCCCTGCCTGGGGCATAAAGAATCGTACTTGGAAGGGGCGTGGCCACGTTTGGGTGTTAACGGCTGTGGAACAAGTGCCACAATTTAAAATATTAATTGCTCTCCTTGTCTATGAAATAAGGTAATATATGAGACCATCGACTTGTACCTTGACACGTGTACAGACTATGTTTACCTTTTTTAGAATACCTTTAAATTTTGTATCGACGGCTTCTGACATCCAATGCAATTCATACTTAGCGGGCTTCACAATAAAGCTCATGTTAAGTTTTCTACTGAATGGTTTCTAAGTCATTTATTCAAGTTTTCGAAAGCAAGTCATCATTAATTCAGTTCGCGCATTCGTAGCAATAGTACAAGGTTTTAAGATCTAAGGTAACTCTCAGACGACATGGCAAGCTTTTTTTTTTTTTTTTTTTTAAGGGGGGAGAATCATCGAATGACTGCTCCCGCCTGGGTGAGGCGGAAGGGAGTGTCAGACTCTTACTGACTAAAAACCACCCCGTTCCTTCTCCTGCACGTCGAGCCGGAGCCCCGGTTACCCGTTAGGTTCTCCGCGACTCGTTAGGTTCTCCGCGACTTCGAGTTCGAGCGACGACGAAGCTTAAGGCCATTTTTATATAAAAAAAATCACTTTTCCTATACTTTCTTCATCAATCCACCTGTTGTATACTTGTTGTATACCTTTTTATCTTGATTACAAACGCATTATACTGAATCTGACTAGGGGCCTAGTCTCTATAATCTTATTACCTACATTATTCCAGGAATCCTGAACTAGTTCCAATCAGACGGGACGTGTGACAATTTGTGCGAACATTGCATTACACAAGGAGTTGTCTATCTGTGCTAGTGTGAATGTAGGTGTCGCTGCTATCGGTTTAGACGTGCGGCTGATTATGGAACGTACGTGGAAAAATTACATTATAAATCATTTCTGAGATTATGGAGTCTGCAGATTCGTCGCCGTTCCACGGGTAAAAAGTAAAATATTCGAAAAATATCAAATGTAAGCACCGTTCTTCAATACTGGTTCCGTAAAGACTAAAATAACTTTCTAGTTTCAAAGCATACCTCTAACACTTTCTGTAGTCGTCCCAGGAACTGATCCTGTCAGTTTTACAAGCGATTGTTGGGAACACAATGTGCCATGTGCAAGACTTGTGTCTAATAACGGTGCTACGCGGTACACACATCAAGCTGTACAGAACCAGCTTATCATGGTCTCGCTTTTATGTACTTTCCAAACATTTAAGGGTCAGTTTATACTGGTTATAATAGCCTAATGTGTACTAAGGTTCTATATTTCCTATAGGCAATAGGGCTGTGCGGTTAGAAAGGAGGTTTATGAGACCCTAGCACTAGTCTCCCGCAGCTCCGAATAATAGTCTTCGGGATCGGAATAAGGTTGTATATCATGTTTGGAATGTACACCTCTGAATGTACGCTGAAACATAAATTCAGAAATGTTTTCATTGATGTAGTCAGTGAAGTTGTTTAGCTTTATTCAGCAGTCGCACTCGCCTTGAATAATATCGTTCGAAGTTTAGTTCAGTAACGAAAGCTGTGAAAACAAGTAAATATGAATGTAATACACATGCAGATTCCACATTCCTAGAAACGATATAAGAATCTAAGTCAGCAATCTACTCATACAAATTGAACTTAATATAACAGAAAATAGAGAGGTGTTTGCAACGATTGAACGATTGAATCAATCAGAAACTTTTACTATAAATCATCAGTTAATATTAGATGATGGCATCCTTTCAAATATCGAACCAACATAGTCAGGTAAATCCCTCAAAGGTTCGTGTCGGAAGGAATGCTCATTCCATCCAGAAAATTGTGGGTACAGGGCCGCTGCGCAGGCGAACACGGGCGGTATCATTTGCTACCGCAATCAGCGTAATAACTACACTGATTCCAACCGCGATCCTGCAGCAACTCGAGCGCATGTCACCGACTTTTATTTTTTTCTGATTGGTTTCAATTGATGTCGATTTGTGGATAAATTCTGTCGTCATTGTTACTTAATGTTTTCTTGTGAAAAAGTTATTTTTTAATTTAATTTCATTATTGTAGTTTTATTTTAAAGCACAATATCCTAGCGTTATGTTCGCAAAGACATTACTTAGGCTATGCTCTATTCAATAAACCATTTTTCTTCATTTTCTGTCCGTTATTATGGTAACTTAATTTTCTCTCGTTTGGGTCTAGACATATATGTTCGATCGAGACAAGGAAGAGTGAGCTGTTCATCACATTCTCAAAGCTCAATAAAAGAAAAGTGTTTTCTCGAAACATAATGCTATCAACTTAGAACAATGGTAACTCTGCACCGCGCACGCGCTTCCAATCCGTTATTATCTGTCATTTTGCAATTTGCTGACCTATCTCAACAGCTGAAAGTTTATTTTAGCTTACATTGAGAGGAGTTCAATAAAACATCAATAACATCATAACTCGTAAATTATCTACACGCTATATTGATAACTTCGTTCCAGTCATTAAGGTATATTTTCGTGTGAAGCATGAAATTCATCGAAATGAACCGTTTGGCAGGTGGTTGTTGCGTGTAACATTGTTGTTTTCAATAGATAGGCTGGATGTTGTAGACCTTTGCTATTTGCGAAGTAACGTGCTCTCGGGGAAACTAATTTGTAGTGCACAGCTGACTGCAGCGGGTCCACGAGCTTGCTGCGCTCATTACATATTTATTGCCACGTAATCTGATTAAGTGTTGACATAATGAGAAATTGATCTCACAAGCAGTAATATTACATTTGTGTTAATACCGCAGACTCGAAGTAGTTTTAATTTCTGGATCATCCACCGCGGGCTAGATATGTTTGCTTTTAATTTCCTGTCAAACGTTTTTTTCCAAGCACAGGACGTATAATCCCTTATTTGCGTCCAAAAGAAGTCCTGTCGGTCAGACTAAATATGGAAGTAGGACCGCTTGTAATCACTTGCATACTTTCGTATCTACATATAGACAAGCTCACACGTCCAATTCAAAATTACCATATTAATGTAGTCGCATTCAAACGCAGCTTCATAAAGTAGAAGTCGGTAGGTTGTGTGATACAGTGCGCCTGTCTCATAAATAATATCTCTGAGCTTTCCAGCGTTTCTCTTCATTACCGGCTTATTAATTAGAAATAGTGAGATTAGTCAGTTTATCCAATGACACACATCTGGACAGGTTTCAGTGGATGAGGATTAGAGGTGGAATTTATGTGTTCTGCTGTACTGGGAGTGGGAGGAAAGTTTCGACGTTATCGAGCAGTTGAGATAAATTGGCTGCGCGACTTGCACCGCCTAGCGCCTGTGCCGTCGCGGCTAGATGAGGTTACAGGTTAGGCATCGTCATGAACAACATCATTTGTATTTGTAACTGCTAGGTATTTTGCCTACAACGGTTGTAATTACAATGACGGAGTACCCACATCTATCCAAGTTACCAGAATGCAGCGGAAAAGATATGATGTAACACACACTATGTTTGTTCGGCTTTGTCTATAAACGCGAAGTTATCAAGAGTGCTCCGGAATGTCGGAAGCTTGTTACAATCGTGATTATGATATAATAGCCTCTCTGATGAACTGCTGCTAACGGCAATAAACTAAGATTGATGGCTGTCAGATAAACTTAATTATATCTTTAATTAAAACACATACACACACTAAACAGCATATTTGTGCGGCCTATTCAAACGAGGTCTTCATAATTCTACGTTAACTTAGTATGAAGATCTATCTCATAGGAAACTCAATTCTTAATCAGGATAACTATAAAACAGTCAAGAATTTTAATAACCCTCGTAATGCTGCGATGATATATTTTACCATGCAACCCGTTTCAATTAACGAAATAATACATGAGATATTTGATTCCGATTATAGGGATGGTTTCGTGTATACCCCTCTCTATCTAATCCTCGTAAAATATCGCTGTCCGTCTCACTCTTGGAGGCATCGCGCGCAACGGTTGGCTGGCTCTATGTCACTCAGTTGCGCACACGCAGCCGCGGGAAGCGTTCGCGTTTGAATATCGAACGTTTTTCGCGCGAACTATCATTGGCCAGTGATATTTCGTTTTCCATTTTGAGTTTTGGAATATATTGGATGACGTGAAGTGTTGATGAGGTGCGTTTGTTCAGTGTGGATACAGGGGCTTGCGTGCCTCGCAATGTTCAGTGTTGTGTAGAAAGTGAATCTCCGACAAAGGATTTCAGTGTTATTGTTGGATACACGTGAGAACTATTGGCTAATTAATTGCGTGCGGAAGGGAATGAGAATGCTTTATGACGTAAACAGTAGATGGTAGTCAGGGCGGTGATACGCGTGTTGTGGTGTCAGGTGTGTCATCACCTGTCCGTGTGTCCGTCCCGCTTCTAATGAAGGGTGAAACACCAACGTTCGTTAAATTCAACGTCTACATAGACAACTACGTACTTCCATACTTTCCATAAAACTGATATATACATCCGTTTGTAACAGAATAAGGTCCCCATTACAATTTTATTATGATTCAATTACATCTTAATGAATATCATCGGCTCCGAAGCAAAAAGAGCCGCTGCTGTAACTTGAGTCAGCAAGTCCTGTGTTTTTCCTGTGTCATCAAACCTTTATTGATCTTGTCAATTACTAAAGGATGTATTTTTCATTAAAACTTTTTCTGCGTAGTAAAGAAACTGCATAAGACCCGTATCATAATACTAACATGCGAAACATTTGTTTATAATCGATATAGTTAGAGGTATACGCTGTCCACAAAACAGGAGGCTTAAAGATTCACAAGTATTTAACTATTATCTTAATGACATTCGCTATATCTCCACAATCTCGGATGAATCAGATTAGCATAATAAGACAAGTATTGGTTATAATTCTCCAATCATTACTGTAATAAGCTCCTGTATAATACAGTGTTGCCAGTTTACCATCCACGCTACGATCCTTGTGTGTTTACAGCCCTATCTTACTCTACTTTAAGCAAACATGCCATTTTATGATTCAAAGGTTTTAAGTACCCTAGTAGTCAAGTAGATGTAGGTTTTTATCGACTATTATAAAAATATTATTGATTATACTTATACTTGTACCTACTTTCGTCCTCGTGAATGCGGTGTCCTGCTGTGTGGTCATAACTATCCAGGACATAAAAATTTTAACGATGATATTAAAATTACTAGTAAATTTTATAGGCAGACCGAACATGCTTCTTCGATTAGTCAAAACAGAATAGTCTAGGACACTGTAAGGCTGCGTACTAAAGCATGACTATCTGCAAAACTATCTTTGAATAGCAATAACAAAGCAATAATACTTTCAAATCCAACCATTAACATTCACAAACTTATAATACGAGCTGTAAAAGGTAAACAAAAAGGTTCTATAGCGTTATCTAAAGCTAAACGGAATAATATCGAAAGAGATAACATCACAGATGAATATATTTATAATAAAAATAAAAATGCACAGCACATTCTGTTGGTCGACGACGTGGGAACATTTTCACTCATTCCTACGTACCTAGATGTACTAGTGTTTGTACGAATCCAGAACAAGACAAAAAAGGTTTCAATATTTGTATCTAACACATTTGTTATTAGAAACATATTAAAGACTGGTTCCATCTCCCAACATGTTCCAATCAACTTGCTTATCTAGTAATCATACCTATACAAAATCTGTTCTAGTTTTTATTTGATGGATAGTTTCTGATTGGAACCTTACAATACAAATAATTGAGTACCTTTTTGATTGTCTTGTTGTACCGATAGCTAAGCTTTCTATTTGAAAATGATCAGTATGTGTTTATCTTCTTGTAGCCAAATTATTGCCAAATTACTGTACTTGTTAAAGTTAATGTCTGTATAAGATAATGATTACTGTTTACATCTTCATTGATGCCTCCACTTCGTTCCGTTACATATTTAGTACCTCGTCTCTGGTCCCAGTAAACCACAACATATTTCAACCAACGGGGCTATTTCACTTACAGCAGCTATTTAAAGCTATTCATGAAAAGATGATGACTTTTATGATTCCATTATAAGCGTCGTGGCTACATGTTATGTGACGATTTTCCCATTAAGTTTAATGATCGTTTAATACTTGTTAATAAATAAATAAGAGTACATTCAGTACTATATGCAGTTTTTACTAAAATGCAAGTAAAGTCGATTAGAGTCAGACTGAACGGTCGTGCCAAACACAATGCTTAATGAAATGCGAGAGAAAAATAATATAATTATGGCGCATAATGTTGACGAAGTGAACAAAGCCGTGAGTTATGGGCCGTAAGTGGGTCGCCGAGTGTAAAACACAAAGGTACTGAACGAAACTAAATTGTCCATTATGACAGATTTAGACGAGAGAAATGTCCACGTCTTGCCACGCGGTGTGAACACAGTATTATGTACCGAGCTCTAGTTCATGTTGGTGCGAACCTTTGTTAAGCAAAATAAGTATTTTGGTTCAAATTTGAGAACTCTTCACAATATTTCCACCAACACTATTGTACGAGTACAGTTTTACAAGTCATTCGGTTTACTATCTGTTTAATTAGTGGTTTAGGGTAGGTTCGTAAGACTGAGAACTTGTGAACTTTCTGAAATAAAAATGTGTTTATTGCACATTTCACACAATACTAAGGTACTTTTCATTAGGTAGCTACTAATGAAGATGACTAATCTACGTTACTGTATCTTTAAGATTAACTAACTGCGTTCTACAGTTGTTTAATGACCATTCAATGTTTACTTTAAGCTACGAAACAACTTCCAAACGAATTTTGGAAGTCGGTCAACTGTGAGATTAAAAACAGGCTGATCGGAATCAAAATAATTCCAAACAGTTAAATCAAGTGGCGCTCTCATTCGCAGACAACCTCTGACCAATAATCCAGTTCTAGAATCATGTTTAGAATAAGATTTTGATTATATATAAAATAGATAATGAAACAAGTAGCTACAGATCACAGAACTAGATGGGATACTTTTCTGATGGAATCACGTCTTGGCTTCATTTTGTGCTTGAGTGTAACGGACCGGTGATTATAAATCATATCGCCACGCTTCCACAAATTAAAATATGTTGTAAATAACATCTAATAAGAAAGTTTGTACGTCTGCTCGTGTTGTATCGAGAACCGTTAGGCTGATTTTAATGGAATTTGTAGTGTTGGAAAGCTTTCCGGATGGGAGATTAAAATAGGTATAAACGTCGCAAGGTGTTACACGCTACAGGAGTGTGCCAATGAGGGAAAGCTGCGAGGTTTTATTTTTATGGCCTTCCCAACTACCCATAATAAACTATCAAATAAGTACCTTCCATTGAAAACTCTATTTAACATTTAATTTTTTTCTACTTTCCACTTTGATAACTTAAAACCTTTCTTCTATGATAATTTGATCGCTCTAATTTACAACCTACCTATTGAAGTATTAACTACAGTATATATTTTATTAGTAATCCTTATACTTAATTACTGACTTGAATTGGCCGATTATGGCCTTAATGTCTCTATTGCGTCGTGATCATTTACGCGCACCTTATTAACAACCACAGACTCAGTTAAACGCGTTTACGAGATTACGGTGCGATCTTTATTTAAGACCTTATTAACTTTCTTGTTGAGATACAATAATAATTCAAAGGGAATATTTCTATAATCCTGTCTTTAGTATACGAGGAGCCGACATCTTGATCAATTGTAGTAACATTGAGAGTTTTAAATATAATTGTTTTATTGGCCGAGTTACAAGCAAAAGGACAATAATAAAAAGGAATTTAATTTCAATTTATCTTTATGTTGGTAATGACATCAAAGAAGTAATTTATTTTAGTATAATTCTTTAGATATTAGCGAAGCTTGATGAAATAAACAGCGAACAATTATGTGCAGTACTGACAGATAGATTATGGATAAAGAAACCAAACAATAACTAGAAGCAAATATCAAGAAAAAGTGACCAGTTTCTATTCAGACTTCAGCTAAACTTTTTACTAATATCCAATAAGCAATAACTTTACCTTATACAGTGTGTTCAATAAATCAGAGCCAATAAAATGGTGTAAAAACAGTCAGCGAGCGCGCTGTATATGGCAATATATGGGGACAAGGGGGTATATGGTACATGAGTCTATAGTCTATGGCACACAGCAAACATGGCGGAGGAAGCCATCGTATATTGTGTCCTACGGGACTGTCCGACTTATACCGTCTCTTAAAGAAGTACTGGCTTTTTGTGTGTGTTTGAGGAAGACAGCGAGATCAAAGAACAGGAAGTTATCGTATATGATTCAGTGTTTGCAATACAAAAACTATTCACTTTCTAGACATATCATTATAGATACTAGTCGGGAATATAGCCAAGTCATGACAACAGACGCTAATCAAAATAGCAACGTTTAAGCTAGTTATCGTATCTTTTCAAGAAAGTTTAAAATGTATCCAAGTGATTTTGGCATTATCAGACAGCTTGATATGCAAGCACTTTAAGACAACAAAAAGAACTAAAATACTTAAAGTAATCGATCCAGTTAATCTTGGCAACCAATTTCACTGTGCAGCCGCGAATAACTTTGAACATAGCAGTCCTAACGAACCAATACATTACAGAGCAACAATTAGCCAACAAATTATTGAAGCCGGAGCTCCAATAATTAGCTCCGAACATTCAGACTATCCTCCCATAATTAGCTCCTTAAATCTAGCCACTAACGATGCCCTTCGCGCTTCGAGAGTATCTTTTGGAAATTATGAGTTCTAGAAATACCGGAGTGAATATATTTTTGTGAAGTAGAAGTGTATTTCAAATGTAATATAAAAGTTTTTTATCGATTTTATGCTTTAGTGTATAATGCTCTTATGTCATCATTAGGTATGCCTCGTATTCCCTGAAGATATAGGTCTAATTTAATCTACCATCAAATTTGTTAAAAGTCCCATATGACGATTGAAGGTAATCCTATTACTAAATAAAGGATGACACGCTAGTTTCTGTGCTATTACAGAAAACTTCCTAAAATCGAACAAGTCTCAGTACTAATTCCCTATGTTTCAATGTTTTCTAATTTTATTTAATTTAGTTTCATTCTTAATTGAACCGTATATACCGTTATGATAAAAAAATATTGTTTGTATGAGCTACAAACTTCAGTTGCCACATCCATCCTCTTTCTTCCATCTCCCGCGAGGTTGCGCGGCCATTTTTTGCAACAATCACTATTAGTTTCTACT